TTCTGCTGTGCATGGGGTCGCTATGAGTCGGTTCTGACTCGATGGCACCTGACAACAACAACAACATGGTTTCCAAAGCTGTAAATCTTTACAATAATAAGTTTGTGTGGCTGTTGGGTTTGAAGCACCAACCTTGCAGTTCACAGCCCAATGTGTAGCCCATGGCACCACCAGGGATCCTCTAATAGACAACAGTGTAAACAAAACTTTTATCTGTACCGGGAAATGAAAAGGTACCTGTGACTCGCTTTATTGTACTAACTGCTTTATTGCAGTGGTCTGGAACAAAACCCACAATATCTCCAAGGTATGCTTGTAGTTATCACACAGCTTTCCAAAACTATACTTACAACCATCCTCATAAGTAGAATTTCACTCCATTTGTGCAGTTTTATACATTAGTCAAACACAAAAAAGGAAAATCTAGTATTTTAGAGATGTAACAAAAGTAAATCAGTTAACACTTCAGATATCTAAATACCAAAAAATCCAAAATATACTTGGTAACTACCAAGGATCAAATGATTAAGTTTAATTATCACTATAATCTTGCTTAAAAAATTACAATCAGTGATAAACTGACCTCTCTTCCGTTGATTACTTGACTGAGCCTCATCTTCACTGACATTTTCACCAGGACAATCTAATTTTGTTTCTCTGTTTTCTTTGCTCTCACTGTTGTTTTTCTTTTCAGCCTTCTCTTCTTTTTCTTTTCTGTTTTGTGGTTTCTTATTTCCTTGGCTTATGATACTCTGACACTATAAAAAATGTTTTGTGAATGAGATTATATTCATTAACATTCAAAATTTGTGGTAACATACCTTACATATTTCAAAACAAAATAGCTTTTATCAAAAAATAAAAATTACTTCTCAAAAGACACTGTTAAGGAAAAAGCCAAGTCACATACTAAGAAAAAATACTTGCAAAGTAGTTGATAAAAAGACTTGTATCTAGAATATATAATGAACATTCAAATTCAGTATTAAGAAAATAACTCAATTTAAACAGGAAAATGGGCAATGGAGTTGAACAAACACTTTAAAGAAGTTACTGGTGGCAAATAAGCATTTGAAAAGTTACCTGATACATCATTAGACAGAGAAATACAAATCACTTCAAGGCCACACCACTGCACATTATTAAAATGACTAAAAATACAAAGACTGACAAGACTGTCCATAACAGGGTTAGACTGAGAATGCAGAGTAAATGGCATTCTTTTACAATGTTAAGTAGTTTGGCAACTTCCTAAAATGCCACATAAATATTTAACATATGATTCAGCCATTCTACTCCTAGATACTTAAAAAATGGAAGCATATACCCATGTAAAAATGTGCACACAAATGTTTTAGTATCTTTATTTGTAATAACAAAAACTGGAAATAATCTAAATGTTCACTAAAGATAGGTGAATGAATAAACTGTATTCCATCCCAATAATGTAATACTCCTGAGCAATAAAAAGGAAAGAAATATTGACAAACAATAATAGGAATAAATCTGAAAATAACTACACAAAGCAAAAGCCAGAAGCAAAAAATATGAGTGTGAAGAAACTTCTGGGACTAATGAATTAAGTTCTTTATCTTGACTGCAGCAATGGCACAGATGCATACGGGTGAAAACTTAACAAGTATACTTTATATATTTATAGTTTATTACATATCATTTATACCTCAATTCAGCTGTGTACATAAATAAATAGATATATATTTACAACTGCACATCAATAATACTGTATAAATTTACAAAGATAAAAGTGTATGGCCTAAAATAAAAATGTAATCATCTTATCACACAAGCTACTCCTCTAAAAAGTCCTGTGATGGATATTTTAGAGTCAACTTTCAGTCTGTTTTCTATTTAAATAGAAACTGAAAGTCTATTCATTACACACTTCTTGATAGATAATATATACATTTAGCACTTCTGCACATACTAAAAATATGGTAAATCTAAGAAAACATACACAGTAATATGAAATGGGCTTCATTTAGGTCCATTAAATCATATTAAAATTAAAATCAATCTCTTTTATTTGTAGTTATTACAAAGTACTTCAAACTCAAGATTATCTACTGAGAATACAACCAGATAGGGGAAATGTGATAAATGAGTTCAGACATCTGGAAAATACAAAAAAAGATAGAAAAGGTAGCTGCCAAGCACCTGTTTATCAATGAATACATTTCTAACAAATATATCTGATTCAGAATTCATAACATCCGATCATTATTACATTAGTAACAGGTAAATCTTACAACGGATAAAGCTTAGGACACTAAATTCAGTACTCATTCTACTGGTAATCTCAAAAGATAATGCAAATCAAAAAAAAAGTAATCTTCTATATTAATTTAGTCTTTATATCTATTCACAATGCTATTTACTAGAACTTAAGTAAGATAAATTCTGAATAATGAAAGACTACTTTTATTTTTTTTTTTTAATGTAATACTCACTCCTCCAGTGTTCACTAATTCGCTTGGTGTTGGCCAATTTGCCATGTCGCTGAAATCACTAGCCTAATAAACAATAAATTCATGTTTACAAATTGTTCCAAAATTATACACACAAAAAAATACTTTCTCAAAGTGAAAACAATTACAAAAAAAATACCCCACAATGAATTATACGCAGGCACTTGCTAAATTAATCCAAAAGCTTCTCCATACAAACTACTTTAACAGAATGCTTCAGTTTATGATCAAATTTCTAGCACAATTAACTAAAATGAGGTACATATAACAACAGGACAGCGTTATAAAAAATACACAATTCTCTAGTATACTAACAAACTAACATCAATGATACAATTATAATTGGAAGAAAAATACTAATAAAAATCAAGAGTTCCTAACAATTTTTAAACTAAATACATGTGTAGTTTATTTCTTGTAAAGACATACCTTACTGGTTTTCTTTGTCTTGAGTTTTCCTGCTTTTATAATTTTAGGGGAAGTGAGCTCTAAAGAAAATACACAGAATTGATTTTACAACCATCTCATTCAACAGCAAAATAACTATTATACCAATTTTATTAAGTCAATGTAATCAGCTCTCAACAAAATCCAAAGTTCTAAGACTCAAATTCCTAGCAAAAAATCAACTATATTTAAGAAATCCAAATTTGTCTTCAATGTCCAAATCACGATGTGGGAACTATTTTAATAGTTTACTTACACTGAAGTGACAGTTCAATCCATTCATTAACAGACTATAAACTGAACTAAAACATGTGGCCATGTGGGCTAATGTGCCAGAATGCAAAGCTGTTTGAACTTCAAGGTCGGCGGTTCAAGCTCACCAGCTGTTGCTTAGAAACCCTATACAGGGTCGCTATGGGTCAGAACTGACTCCACAGCACTTAACAACAATGCCAAGCAACTCAAGTAAATTTCTAATAGGAAATATTTTTCTAAACAATTAACAGATTCACAAAGAAGCACCCAAGAAAAAAGGTCATAAGACTTCAAACTATTTGTCCTAAAAGAAAACAAAAACAGTTTGGCAACCATAATAAGTTGCCATAATATGGCTTCTAGATTCAAGCCATAAAATAGAATAACTGATCACTGTCAAAGTTTGTACATTTTTGAGTAACAGCACAACAGGTGACAATAAACACCAATATACTTCCCCAAATGAAGATTTTACAGTGTCTTTTAGCTATCTAGCAAGGTGGTCAGACAGCATGATCATCTAGCTGAATAGGGCCAAAAGTAAAATATGCTTGGGATCTTCATTTACAGACAGCACACTAATCATCCTAACAAATCATGGAAATGACCATGTTGTTATATTGTTAAGTGCCATCTAGTCTGTTCCGACTCACAACATAATGTTTCCAAGGAGTGACTAGTGAACTGAACCGCTGACTTTGCGGTCCAGTGCTTATGACCATACTTACGTTAAAACAATCTTTTTGTTAAAATCCAGCAGATTTAAATGCAATATCCAGTTCTTATCAAAGGAAGACGGATGAAAGATGAAGGTGTATTCAGGGATAGGTATACTGGGAACTTGAACACTATTATAATATTCTGTATCTGAAGCCGAATAGAAAGTACACAAGCATCCATTTTACTTTTATACTTTTAGGTAGATATGTATGTTTACGTGCATATGGATAAAACACATCATTGAGGAAAATTAATGCAGTAGAAAAGAAAATATTGGCAAGTATGACCAAGTAACTGAAACCCATAAGGGAGGAGGAAGCCTAAACAACTAATAAAGAACAGTATTTGCCTGAACAATAGCTATCTGATTAAAGCATACTGTGTAAAGATTAGCTTTTCCTTTAACAAAATGGAAAAACATGTTCCAAAATATTGCTGGCCAAGTAGGCAAGGAAATTAAATGCATTGTTGTTGTTGTTGTTAAGTGTTAAGTGTTGTCGAGTCGATTCCAAGCCATAGCAACCCTGTATAGGGTTTCTAAGGAGCAGTTGGTGAGCTTGAACCACCAACCTTTAAGTTTAAACGACTTTACAGTCTGACACATCAGCCCAAAGCGCCACATCATAGCAGTTGTAAAATACAGTTTTTATACGAACTATTAGATGTAATAAAAAAAAAATAAGGGATAGTCAATACAAGTAGGTTTTGTTTGGCTTTATTACAAATCCTGAGACATATATGAAACCAAGGTCAGAAACTAAATATTTTTTTAAAAAAAAAGAAAAAAAAAACCTGATTCTGATTACATAAAAACTTTTAAATAATTTTTTTACCTTTAATACTAAATGGCAACATAAAGTTTAACAGAAAAAAAATTGCAATGCGAGTTAATAAACCTTCTCATTTAAAATTTTTAAAAAAATTTTTTTTTAATGGCCACATTCTACCTAGACATTAGAATCATTTCCAGCTAAAACTGAGAACTTCGTGAAGAAGAATCTTTAACTTTTATTTCTTCAGACTTGGGAAGGAAAACAGATTTTGATTTCAGATCTTAGAACTCAAAATAATTTTTTCTCAATTTTTTTAAAGTCTTTCAGCTTTAATTCTTCTATATGATATGTAATTCTTAAAGTTTACATTTAACTTTGGAGCATCTGTGACATTGTCATTTTATTAATAGAATATTTGTTTGAGCTTTGCAACCGAAACGTTTATGAACACTTTTTGTCAACACAGAATATAACAAAGTTAAAAAACATGACTTAGTAATATAGAACATAAAACTTACAAAGGGGCTTCAAAAAGTTCAAGGGGAAATTCCATTTATCTCTTAATTTCATTTTTTTTAAAAGCTTTTCTTGTGAATTGAGTGTTAGTTTACATGGGTGAACATCGGTTTTGCACTCAACCTATCATATTTTGTTTCACTGCAATGATTACAATCCCCTCCATGCATCATCATTCAGCACTATTTGCTTCTATTCCGAGTTGGTGCCAGCACACAGTCTTTCTCCTTCCAAGAGTCTAGAGTCCTCAGCTGCTCTATCTCTCCATGCCATCATCTCTGCCTCCATATCTGGTGTCACTGCTTCTCTGGATAGGGTTCCATAATTCTGCTCATGCTCTTCTCCCTTGATGGTCTTAATTCCATTTTTCCACTATATTTGTTAAATCCTCCTTGTATTATGGAGTCATTTCTTACCAGTGGTTACTAAGAGGACCTAAGAGTTCATTCACTTTTTTATGAAAAATTTCCTCCTAACATTCCTGTTCATTTTTCTCAACTCTTCCCAACAGAGGAATTTCCTGATTGCTCCCCCTTTTACTTTGAAAGATTTTATTGTTGTTTGTTGGATATTAGTCAATTGTGACTTAAAGTGACCCTATTTTCTAGGCTAGAATCTTTTCTACATAGTAGATTGCCAGATCTTTCTCTTGTGAGCAACTAGGTAGGTTCAAGCCAGCTACCTTTCAGTTAGGAGCTGAGCACTTAATGGCTGCACCAGTAAGACTCCTCTGTTCTACTGCTTCATGCTGTCAACTTCACAGGGGCAGAACCCCAACAGGAGTAGCAGGATGACAAACAGTTGTGAAACATCAACTGGGGGAACAATTTTGTCTAATTAACAGTTCAAAATAAACCTGATGTACTGCTTACTTAGGCTACTTCACAAACCCAGATTTTAGTTTTCCAATTATAAGGATGATATCAAGTTTTTTTAACAAAAATAAATCTCGGCATAGAATGAAATGGAAAAACATAAAAAAGCACAAATTTGCACAAGTACACAAATGTAAACTCAAACCTTTTCCACCTATCAAGCTGTCAAAAAAGAGAATGCTCAGTATTAGTCAACCTATAAAGAAAGTAAAACACTTTTATATTGGTAAGAATACAAAGTGTGGTATAATCTTTCAAGGAAATAATGTCATTTAAAATATAATAAAACCACTGATGAGGTAATTCCATTCCTGGGAAATTACTTGGGAATTATGACAAGTTACAAAGATTTGCATATAAGACATTTACTATGATTTTTCTAATAAATCCAAACCAAACCTGCTGTCATAGAATCAGTTCCGACGCACAGTGACCTTCAAGGCTGCAAAATCTTGATGGGCGCAGACAGACTCATCTTTCTACCTTGGAACAGCTGGTGAATATAAACTACTGACCTTGCTGTTATAGCAGTCCAGTGCTTATCCTATAGTTTCACCACGGCTCCTTATCACTGCTGAAAAGCATACTTAAATCATTAATAGGGAGAATGGTGGCTCTGTAGGATAAATACTGGACTGGGAACCACAATGTCCGTAGTACAAGCCTACAAGTCACTATGCAGAAGATGAGGCTTCTAGCTCCTGCAAAGATTTATAGCCTCAAAAACCTTATGCAGGGTTACACTGAGTCAGAACTGATTCAATGGCATGTAACATTACACAAAAGGAATAATTTAACTTCTAGAAATAAATCTGCATATATTAACATGGAAAGAAGTCATACAGAAAACAGATAAAACAACCCTAAGGAAGGACATGTTTTACTTTTATCACGATTTAGAAAATATGGAAAATGCTCTGAATGTAGTTAAAGAAAACCTGAAACCAAAAAGACCAGCCAGTCTAGAAGAAGAAAATACACAGAGAGACATTATATACTATACACACAAATAGATGGAACATAAGCAAGTTTCCACCACTCATCTGTCAGTTTGTTGTAATGTGGTGGCTTGTGAGTTGCTGTGATTCTGGAAGCTATGCCACCAGTATTTTAAATACCAGCAGGGTCCCCATGGTGGACAGGTTTCAGATGAGCTTCCAGATGAAGACAGATTAGCAAGAAGGAATAACGAACTACTGCCGAATATTTACTCAATGAAAACCTGATGAATAGCAGAGAAACACTGCCAGATATAGTGCCAGAAAATGAGCCCCTAGGGTTGGAAGACATTCAAAATGTGACTGGGGAAGAGCTGCCTCCTCAAAGTAGAGCTGACTGTGATGGTGTGAATGGAGTAAAGCCCTTATGACCTTCATTTCCTGATGGGTCACAACTCAAAAAAGAAGAGAAACAGCTGTAAACATCCATTATTAATCAGAAC